ATGCGTAATGGGGATGGGGCAAGATATAGGCCTGATCGTTCTGCATAAAATAATTCGTCTCGCCGAACATCGGCGTTTGAAAGTGATTATAACTCGGACCAGAGGCCTGTTGCTGTTGTTGTTGATGATGAGTTTGTTGCTGCTGCTGCTGTTGTTGCTGCTGCTGCTGTTGTTGTTGTTGCGTCGATGGTTGTTGAGAAGACGTAGGATCTTGCGAGGGCGGCCTCGAGGAAGATTCGCTCGAGTCCGCCGGTGCGGTCACGCTATCGCGTTTAACACCCACGTGACTATTATGATTACCAGCTTTGCTGTTGTTGTTGTTACTCTCCTCCTGCTGGGCCTGGCTCGCCCACTGACTTAGCAGGTTCTCCTGGTGGTATCGCAGGTGCACTTCCAGACTTTTATCGCTTTCGAAATAAAGACCGCAATCCTTGCAATGATGCTCCGGATTCGAACTGCCACCTACGTACTGTTGTTGCTGCTGTTGTTGTTGTTCGACACTCGTCATTTCACTCATATTGTCCCTCTTTCCTCTACTCCGCGCGCTTTCGTCTCGCTTTCAGACGCCTTTCTTTATTTCGTCTTCCGAATAAGAAAGCCTCGTCTTTGTTTCTCTCTCACTCTCTCTCTCTTTCTCTCCCCCCCCTTTCTCTCTCTTTCTCTCTCTCTCTCTCGGTGAACAGCGCACTGTCCGTGTAACACACCGTGTTTCACTGAATCGAAAATGTCGTGTATATATATATATATATATATATGTAAATATATATACACATACACAGACACACAAACACGCGCGCGTACACGCGCTCGCGCGCGCGCCAAGTTCTGATAACAGTCTGTTCTCCTGATATCGCGGTATTTCGTTCTCTCGTCGTTCACTTTCTCGATCTTATTTATTATTAATATGTATCGCTGGAAAAGAGATGGGACGCGGATCACAACTCGGGACGAGGCGGTCGAACGTGGCGTGGAAACGCGTCGTCAAGTCGCGACGTCTCGCGTCTCCCTCCTTTCAACCGTCGACGAGCGTCGATACAGGTTTCCTCGCGGACCGCACATGGACGATGATGACTCGAGAAAGAAGACGCGCGAAAACAGGAGTCACGTGAGATAGCGAGCAAAGCACTTTTGCAGGGAGGACGGTTTTTTTTTTTTTTTTTTTTTTTCTTTTACGAGAGTGGGAGGCCGAACGAAAAGAAAAGAAAGAAAAAGGAAAAAAAGCGGAGTACAGCGTGTTCTACATTTATCATATGTTGACACGTACGCCAGGTACGAAGAAGAAGGTCGAGATCAATCTCGATCGCTCCAGCTGGTGCGACTCCGACCGTATCACTGTGCGCGGCATCGTCGTCCTCGCCTCGACGATACGCTGACGACGACAAAGACGACGACCACCACCGCAACCACCACCACCACCGACAATCGTATTAGCTTCGATGCTTGTTCCAAGACGCGATCACGAACCGGCTTCCCCCTTTCAGTTCCAGTGCGCGTCCACCGACGCTGTCCGTGTCCGAATGTTGAGAATCTTCTCGGCGGAGGAAATACTCGTACAGAAGAAATATACGCGCTTTCGAGCGAAGGAAAATAAAAGAACGGAAAAAAAAAAAAAAAAATAAACAATGGTACGCGTACGATTTACATCGTTTAGGTCCACGATCGTTCGATTTCCTCGATCACTCGTCCCCGATATTTCGATAATTATCGACTATTCCTCGAAGATCGAATTCACACGGTCCAACGATAACAATCGTAACTCCTCGTCCTCGAATCATTGGTCATATCACGATCGATCACTTATCACTTTCTTCACTGATACAATAATACGTCCATTATCTCCACGTTTTCACTTTTTCGTCCACGAGAAACTATAGCAGCAATACCGCACGGTCGTTCGATCACGTCGTACGCTCACGATAAATAGGTACGGAGCACCGAGAATTTCGTACTATGATCGAAATTCATCGAAATCTGGAAAAGATGAAACGTGTGTATGCGTGTGCGTGTAACACGCGGGCAAGAGACGAACGGTTGGTTGGTTTATCCTTCGAACTGCGATTGTAAATAGCTGGGAGATCGTCCTCAACCTCGTGTATCTCCCTCCTTTTACTCCTCGCCCCTCCCTTCCGGCGGGATCGCTCGTTCACTCCTTCTCTCTTTCTCTCTCCCCCCCCTCTTTCTCTCTCACTCTAATCTATTCACACACTCTCCAGAACCGCGTCGTACGACCGCCGGTACTGTTCTGTCGGTTGGAATTCCGGAGTTTCGTTCGAGTCCTCGGGCTCGCGCCAAGGCACTGCTCTCTCTCCCTGCTTTCCAAGCCTTCTCTGCCATCCCCTCTATACCGTCGCTTGCTAGCTCACATACTGCCTCTTCCAACCATCTCGACTCTCTCTCCTCGATGCCGACTTCTTCCCCTCTCTTCTTCTACGCCTCTACGCCGACGAATGATGCTCCCTCTCTCTCTCACTCACTCTCTCTTTCTCTATCCTATTCTCCACACTCTGCGTACTCTCTCGCTCTCCAACAGTTTCTCTCCTTCTTCCTTCTTAACGTTACTACGCCCGATCCTACTCTCTCTTTCCAATTTTCTCTCCGATTCGTCTTCCCTCTCTCTCTCTCTCTCTCTCTCTCTCTCTCTCTCTCTCTATCCCTCTCTCTCTCTCTCTCTCTCTCTCTCTCTCTCTCTCTATTTCAACTACCTCCCCACCTCCCTCTTCTACGGTTTACGAGAATAACACCTTTCTCCGTTCGATCCACTCATCTTCCTTCCTTTTCTCGCTTTCTAATCTCGCCCCTTCCTTTTCCCTTCCACGTTCCCGCCGCTATACCCCGCCTTGTCTCTCTAACGGTATCCTCCCTTTCCCACTTTTAGCCGTCGACCAAAGCTCCCTCTTCCCGCAACGATGTAGCTCATAGACGAGCGAGAGAGAAAGAAGGCAAAAAGGACAAGTTATCCGACGAAGAGGCGAATAACTCGAGACAGCCAACCAAATTTGAGACGTCGAGCGCTTCTTGCCCCCACCAGATCTTCCTTGCCCCTCCGCTCTTCTGTGACCGTCCAACGCTTCTCGTTCTCCTTCTCTCTCTCTCTCTCTCTCTCTCTCTC